CTTCATGCTGAATCCAAGTCATAACTTCATGCTGAATGCAAGTCATAACTTCATGCTGAATCCAAGTCATAACTTCATACTGAATCCAAGTCATAACTTCATGCTGAATCCAAATCATAATCTGAATCCAAGTCATAACTTCATGCTGAATCCAAGTCATAACTTCATACTGAATCTAAGTCATAACTTCATGCTGAATCCAAGTCATAACTTCATGCTGAATCCAAGTCATAACTTCATACTGAATATAAGTCATAACTTCATGCTGAATCCAAGTCATAACTTCATGCTGAATCCAAGTCATAACTTCATACTGAATCCAAGTCATAACTTCATGCTGAATCAAAGTCATAACTTCATGCTGAATCCAAGTCATAACTTCATACTGAATCCAAGTCATAACTTCATGCTGAATCCAAGTCATAACTTCATGCTGAATCCAAGTCATAACTTCATGCTGAATCCAAGTCATAACCTGTCTCTTATACACATCTAGATGTGTATAAGAGACAGGTTTAAGACGTGGCATGGATGATGAGCTGTTTAAGACGTGGCGTGGACGATGAGCTGTTCAAGACGTGGCATGGATGACGAGCTGTTTAAGACGTGGCATGGATGATGAGCTGTTTAAGACATGGCATGGATGACGAGCTGTTTAAGACATGGCATGAATGACGAGCTGCCTAAGACGCAAGAAACCATAATCAAATCATTACATTTTGACGGTAAGGAGTGAGCTCTATCGCCTGAATATGTAAGTAATTTTTTACATTCACATCATTCAACATTAGCAGAATCAATGACAGTGCACAAGCTGCTCTTCAAGAATTGAAACAATCAATCTCGTGAATAAAGAAGCAGATATGAGACTCGGCGCCAACCAATGCATTATTTAGCAATCATCCTTCAGAGTCGTCATGTAATTTCCGACGCACTCCTTGCGATTCCTGCATTGCACTTCACTGGTTCTTGTTTTGTATTGTGGATCACTGCTTCAAAAGACTGAGACTTTATGTATGAGACTTTTGAGAAATGAGTGAGACTTTTGAGAAGTGTTAGACTTTTCAGAAGTGAGTGAGACTATTGAGAAGTGAGTGAGACTTTTGAGAAGTGAATGAGACTTTTGGGAAGTAAGTGAGGCTTTTGAGAAGTGAATGAAACTTTTGAGAAGTGAGTTAGACTTTTCAGAAGTGAGTGAGACTTTTGAGAAATGAGTGAGACTTTTGTGAAGTGAGTGAGACTTTTCAGAAGTGAGTGAGACTTTTCAGAAGTGAGTGAGACTTTTCAGAAGTGAGTGAGAATATTGAGAAGTGAGTGAAACTTTTGAGAAGTGAGTGAAACTTTTGAGAAGTGAGTGAGACTTTTGAGAAGTGAGTGAGACTTTTGAGAAGGAAGTGAGACTTCACGATGATGGTAACATGCAATTCTGAATACGAAGATCGGAGCAGTGAGCTATGTGTTCGATTCCAGCAGCCTGCGATAGTTCTAGTCAAATCGGCAAAGAGGCCGGGCATTTAAGCACAGCATAATTTGAGCAGCGAGTTGCGTGTTCGAGACCGCAATAAGCTGCAAAAATTCCGCGTTGTTCTAAATCGGCAACCGGTCTAACGGTGAAATTAACACTGACGCCGCTATTCCTATTACTTATAATGTACAAGAACTCGAGATAGAAGTTAAAAGTGGCATTTCGCACGTGAAGAATGGCTTCTAGAATGTAAAATGCCCCGTCGCGCCAGATGTAATCTAGCAACCTATACTGTAGTCTCAAGCTGTGAAATTAAGCAACCTTTTTGTATATTCGATTTCTAGACAAACTTAGACAAACATTTGAATTTATAAGGTTTATGCGGTGGTTCTTTTTTCACGTAGATCGTCATCTTGCTTGTGCACTAAAGTCTATTGTGACGCTCTTCAGATATTCAAATTTATGAACACAATCCAGCATCGATGATTGGAATTCAAAGTTCGATAACTTTTTAGGCCAAAACTTAGAATGGCATCCGCGCGGAAACTCTGACTGAAGTGCTCGATCGTATTTTTCCAATTCTAGATGGAGTTCCACAGACCAGCTGCAGAGTGAAGAAATTGCTTTGTGTGATTATTTAGAATTCGCACAGATAAGAATATTGATACTAGCCCACATCAAAAATGTAGAGTTTCTGTCATCAAATTTCTTGCTTGAATAAGATAATATTTTCGATTTAAAAATTCATAGTTCAGTGATACAAGAGAGAACTGTATTACGATATGCTATGTATTGCAAATGATTAAGTGAATAAATGAATTCTAGATTTCCCAGAAAAAAATGAAAAAACTGCTTGCATCAGCAAAAATTACTGGTAAGAATATCAATGAATTAAAGTCGACGGGATAATAATTAGACATAAACGATTAATTTCGACATAATTGGTCTGGCAGCAAGAAGGTCGGCCTGAGTGATCACGGACTTTAAGGCGCTGGTGCAGCCGTTGTTCTCAAGCGATCGCGCCTTTGATGTTATCGATCAGAACTGTAATGCTTAAGCCGCGGACACTCATTACCTATACGGCTTTATTCCTCACACTTTAATTCAATATCAATAATGACAATGAGACAAATAAAAACTTTGATAAGTGCTTATCTTATTTCAAAATTTTTTTTTTTTAATCGAGCTGCAATAAAATTTCACCGTGGTTCTCAGTGTCATGCTCATTAGACAAGACGACAGTGAGCAAATTGCGCTTCTTCTGACGTCTTGCCTGCACTGCCATTCATAGGAGCGGTCACGCCAAACTGCCATCAGGCGACGGTGGTCCATATGCGATTGTAATCGCTCGCCTGTCGCGCCTGTGCTCGCGTGAACCGTGAAGAACTTCGCTCGCCTGTTGCGTGAACCGTGATTGACATTGCTCGGCTGTCGCGTGAACCGTGATAGATTTTACTTGCGTGATGGACATCGGTTGCCTGTCGCGTGAACCGTGATGGACATCGTTCGCCTGTCGCGTGAACCATGATGGATATCGGTCGCCTGTCACACGCCTGTCAACGCTCGCCTGTAGCGTGAACCGTGATAGATATCGCTCGCCTCTCGCGTGAACCGTGATTGACTTCACTCGCCTGTCGCGTGAACCGCGATGGATATCGGTCGCCTGTCGCGAGCAATATCCATATACCCGGCAGAGTATTTTTTTCAGTAATTTAAAGGGAGGATCTACATAAAATTTGCACAAGCTCCGTAACCCACTGAACTCCAAACCGTAATCCGATCATGCGATCTGGCGCCCAAATTTTACTGCCAATTCTGTTCTTATCAAAGGCTGCATTTTTAAACCGTGTCGAAAAAGACCACTGGTCTAAATGGAAATGTTGATACGGGATGCGCATACACCGTCATACATTATTGATTATTAAAACTGCGGGAAAAACTTAATAAAAGTCAATCATTACATATTTACTTTATTCATTTAGGCAGCAAATCATGCTTGATATTTCTATTTTTATTTCCTTCAGTCGCAGTAAAGTGTATAATTAAACCTATGGTCTAAAACTAATCAATAATTCAAAACAATCAAGTTTGAATAGACATTAACTACATTAAACTCCTAAATCGCAAACTGCTCAAAATTTTTATATCAAACTAAAAGCCATGAAAAATTAACCATGTATTCATCAAAAAATGACGTTTCGAATACATGTGCTTTCTTTGCAGATAACTTCCTGGTTAATATATGCTTTAAGCAAACTGGTTATGTATTCAAGTACTTGAAAGGCGTTCAATTGAAGTTCGAGCAACGAAATAAATCTTATTCAGCCATAATGGTTCGAGGAAGACTAATATTTTTTGCACTTGTTCATGTGCACGCGGCTTGCAGCTGATAAAGATTAGTCCATCGATGACTCATTAAAATAAATGGGTCATATTACCCGAAAAGTTGAACACTTTCTTTCCTACATCATAAGCAGACAGTAGGCCTAGCACTTATAGGCTTTTTATATGCATATATGGCCTATATACATGTATATAACTGGGTCGGAATGACTCGTCATCGGCATCCGTTTACGTAACAGGCCTATAGCACTGATATGCAATGTTGACGAGCCTACATATACATAACTGGGTCTCAATGACTTACACAAAGGCAAAAAGTGCATTGTAATTTGGACAAAGTCACACCCAATAATTTCTCTGTGTTGTAGGAACACAAACTTCAGTAACTGAGGTCGCTCGTCTCCGCGGAACCAGCGAACAGTTCCGTGATTAGCACCCGACGCTCGGCATCAAACATGCAGTGTTTGTCGCCGCCTGTAGCAGACTCCACTCAGGGAAATGAATGAGACTTTTACGAATTCTAATGCACTTTGTTTGGGTTATCCAGACTCGACTTAGTCCTGAAAAATAGCTTATCCGTGCTACTTCCATATGTTCGTTTTGTGGTTAAGAAAATAGTTCACTATATGGACAAAATGACGTATGTAATTTTTCTGCATGTACGCTTCCTTCAGAATTGTTTCCAAGTCTTTCAGCCACGTCCTTCAGGATTGTTTCTTTAATGCACCGCTGGGCATCGATCGAAGATACAGACTGAGTTGAAATAAAGAACGATCAGAGCAAATCTAAATTTCAAGTTTTTATATTCTAATGAATTAGATACAATTCTGTAAATCTGGTTTTCTATGTTGGTTGAACCTAAAAATTGTATCCGATGCAAAGATATTTTTTTATTGATTTTTGTAAATGATAAACTTGCCTTTTGCTGCCTATATTGATTTAATAATTCTATTTAAATTTCATTCGTTATGACTGTTTTTTTCCACTTTTTCAACCAGTCATTAAAATTATTTCAAAATTATTTATTTTTTAATAAATAATAATTCTTTATTATTATTTATTAATTATTATTTGCTAATCAAAAGAATATCTCAAATAAAATATTCTATATTATGCTAGAACAGAGAGCATCCTCAAATTTACTGCTCAATTTACTTATGCATGTATTGCGAAATTTTGTCATAAAACTCACCAGATATTCCAGCATATGTCCACCATTGCTCCCAATTCCACGTAACCGATTGCGTATCTGCAGAACAAATTTAAATTAGAAACAATTTTAATATTATTTTCGAATTTCACCAATTTACCTATTTTTATTTGTTATAGTCAATGCAGTAGAAGAATTCGCTAAAATTTGGTGGCATTGATGCTCGAATATTAAAATTAAAAATCGAAATTGAGCTCGCCTGTCGTAGGCAAGGATCAGAAAACGGTCAAAATGTCAAACTTGGAAGTTGGTAGTTAAACAAAAGTTATATTCAGTAACTTATGTTGATTAAATTACCAGTATAAAGTTACTTGAATGATGCTTGATTATTGAGAATTAATACAAAAGATAATAAGAAGTAATGCAGTATCATGAACAATGAAAGGTGTTGCACGATCATGAAAAATAACGCCGTTAGAATTGTCACGCTAATGTATTTGCTCCATATATCTGCCACTGACTTCAGGTACACGAATAATAAGAACAATAAGATTGAAGTAGACCAAGGAAGTTAGTACAGATTAAAAATTCACAGCAAAGGGTCGATGCCAATTTAATATCAAAGTAGATGGCTAAAGAAGCCAACTGGATTATTCAACGCTAAGCCCGACAGAAAACGTATTCACGGAACTCAGTTAACAAGCGAGGAATAAATCCGAATCGGGTAGATTTGTTGATATTTATTCAACATGCCTTCAACTCCTTTGTCCTATAGACGCAGTTTGTCGTCAATTTATTTTTAACATCACAGAATTTCTATTTTTTACGAAATACCGGTAAAGGAAAATTGAAACAGAGGCCGAAAAAATCTAGTCTCATCGGGGATCAAATAAAGAAGAAATTCTAAAGAGAATTCGTCACGCAAGCTTTATTGTTTACTTGAACGCTTCGTATTTACTTCCGTAGTCCTCGAAAAACGTAGCACTAAGACCCATGAACGGCATACAACAGCTCCTCTACGACCATTCAGGGGAATTAGATCAAATTTAGGAAGCATCTTCAATTAAGCAATGCTTTGGAGCAGAAGTAGGAAGTAGTTCTTCTCACAAAATCAGAGTAAAACTTTTTTTAACAAAATATGTATATCCGTACTCGGACATTTTAATTTCTTAGTACGCACATCGTCATGAGTACTCTTTGTCGTAAGAAACATTTTCGTGGTAACAAAGAGTTATAACTTTACCTGATTTTTTCGAAACTCAGGTTTATGCGTTTTGAAACCCAGGTGTATGCATTTTGAAACCCAGATTTATGCGTTTAGAAACCCAGGTTTATGTGTTTTGAAACCTAGGTTCATGCGTTTTAAAAACCCAGGTTTATGCGTTTTGAAACACAGGTTTATGCGTTCTGAAACCCAGGTTTATGCGTTTTGAAACCCAGATTTATGCTTTTAGAAACCCAGGTTTATGGGTTTTGAAACCTAGGTTTGTGCATTTTAAAAACCCAGGTCTATGCGTTTTGAAACACAGGTCTATGCGTTCTGAAACCCCGGTTTATGCGTTTTGAAACCCAGATTTATGCGTTTAGAAACCCAGGTTTATGCGTTTTGAAACCTAGGTTTATGCGTTTTAAAAACCCAGGTCTATGCGTTTTGAAACACAGGTTTATGCGTTTTGAAACCCAGGTTTATGCCTTTCGAAACCCAGATTTATGCGTTTTTAAACCCAGGTTTTTTGCGTTTTGAAACCCAGATTTATGCGTTTCGAAACCTAGGTTTATGCGTTTTGAAACCCAGATTTATGCGTTTTGAAACCCAGGTTTATCCGTTTCGAAACCCAGATTTTGAAACGAAGGTTAAAAATATTTCCTTGAGGGAAGCGCCTTATTAATTTAGCCAATAACATAATGTTTTTTATTTTGCGGTTTAGTGGGCAGTGTTTACGAGAAGAACCTCAAGGTGCAATTTTGTTTGCAAGTTCGTCTAGAAAAACTTGGTCAATCTCCATGGTGAGGTAAAAGTGCCCCTCGTTGCGGTAGCTTTTTGTGGACTTAAGGGAGCTTTCTTTGGGTCAGCGAAACCCGATAGTGCGAGCAATCAAGTCCCCGGTCAAAAATGGCCCTCTGAGCGCTGCAAGTCCACTGAACTGAGGACAAACTTGCCGTTTGGTGCAGACTTCAGCGCAACCAAAAACACTCGCCGGGCCTTCACTGCATTCAAGTAAACCTGTGCCACTTACACCATCTTTCTGTTTTGAATTTCAATAGGAAAAAATTAAAATACGGCGCTGCCAATTCGAATATATAAAGAACAATTATTGACATATGCCATTTACAATTCATAACTATCTACATTTTTAAGTGATTAACTGACGAAAAAGTTTTTAGAAGTCATGAACGCCTCTACGTACGAAAATGGCTCATGAGGGACAAAGCAAGCTCGATTACAGTTTATAAAACTTTCCATATTTGTAAATATTTAACTGCTGAACAAAGTTATCAAAAGCTACACATAAAAGGCTCGACGTAAAAATATAGCACACGACTGCATGATGGCACCGTTTTAAGGTCAACGTATAACATCAGTTTGGTCGACGACGCGTGTGAATTGATCAGAGTGCCGGTATTAAAACAAGGCTTCAGTAGCGTGAATGAAAGACAGATCACTCATCAACCATTCTCACTAGGTTGGTTTCGAGCAAGCCAATTAAGAACGATCTGCTATGAAATTATTATTAGATTTTTTTATCGTTGCAATAAATCAGTTGTATTTTCTTGCTGTAAGGATTGTCTTCGGATATCGTCCACGCGTTGCAACTGTTTTTATGTGAATTGGTGATTGGAGCAATCAAACAATAAACGTACGTCAATAAAACGGACATGCAAGGGGAAAGCAGTTTAACGTTTTTTATCAATAAAATTACTTGATAAGTATTTTTTCTGTTAAAGTTGGTTATTATTACGAGTGTTTCAGCAAAAAAGCAGGCTTAAATTTTTCGGCAAAATTTTAAAACTGAAATCATAGTTTACGCATTAACGTTTAGCCTCCAGTTTATTCACTAATCGCCGCCGTTGCAATGATCACAAAAGAATTAACTTCTCTGAATCTTAATAGTTACTGGCGAGTGGATTTATGTCATCGCTATTACCTCTATTCCATCCCACTTCGGTTATTATTCTTTACCTAAATAATTAATTAGTTAACCTAATTTCCATGATTTATGTTAACAATTTCAGGTCCTTAGGAATATCTGTCTTGCCGGACGACTTGGGCAGCCATTAATTCATAATCATCCAATTGTTATCTCTTTGTCCGATTATGCAAAAACAATTTATAGATCGCGTCATAAGTCAGTACAGATGGAATCGTTTTGGAATTCTAGGCATTTATATCAATTATTATTATATTTCTTATACAAAAGAAAATATTTGTAAAATCTAATGCTCAATACTGCTGCCCTCAAATAAACATTTTATAATGGACTAGAGATGATTATAAATTTAACTCGAACGTCACTTATGCTGCGACTCAAAACCATCATAACATTGTCAGGCAATTTCAAATCTAGTTTGGCATTATTCAGTCATAATGAGAGATACATATGATACATTATTCAGTCTTGAACAATGATTAGGTTATTTAAATATGTAGCATTGCGACGAGTTTAATTCTAAAAATACGCGTTCTGCTCTGCTTGTCAAATCGGAAACAAGAACCTAAATCAAACGCTGCGCACTGGCAGATCTCAGTATTTAACTGACACTGAGATTGACAGATCCAGCAATCACGTGAGCGTCGGAACTAAACGTAAACTTTCCGTTAGTAAAATGACATGAAAAACAAGTATGAAGGGCAAGACTGGACTGTCATGGGCATAATGGATATTAAATCTATTTCTGTAAGTTCTTTCGCATGGGTGGAAATGCAGGTAAAGATATCCAAAGGCAACAATATCATCTTGTTTAGTGTACGACTAAATAATACACACGGAACTGCTGTTAAATTGAATTTGTCTAGAGCGTAACTAATATCTAATAAATACCTAATGTAGCTAATAAATAATCAGACACCTATTTAAAAAATGAAGCACAGCATGAATAAATTAAACCAGCGCCGGCGTGAAGAGATTTACAAGTAATTTCTGTGTCTTAGTTACTGGTTATCTAAATTATTGTGTCTTCCAGCTGAGTTATAGATTTCAATAGGCGTAAAAGCTCGTATTTTATCCAACAAATTGAGCAAATTCACCATTATTCAGTTGAATTAAAAAGCGCTTAAAAAGCTAAATAATATTTACAACGAGCGTTTAGCAGTCCAACGTAATTTGTATATCTTCGCTATTAATTCAGAATTTATTACCATCAATCACTAATTCAAAATCGTTCATATATAATTCATGAAGCAAAATCACACAAACAAACCCTTATAATTTGTACTAAACAATCACCAAAATACTTTAAAAATAGTTCCGAGTTAGAACAACGGTATGAGAACATTCACAGTTCTAATATATATGCATATTAACTAATATCGAGATATTACCGAGCTTCTCTAGTCTGAAAACCTGTTAAATAGGTAGTGTTAGTAAAGCTGTTAACTAGTGTTACTCTCATTAAACATAAAGTTTGTCCTTCGTCTACGTGTATGTCAACCGCAGTTAATGCGATTCATATGTAAAATCCTGGTCACGAAAATTCAACGTCAATGCACAAACGTTCAATTGCTTGGTATTTTTCACCCAAAATTCGCGCTGCCCGATGATACGAGTAGCAGGAGTTTGTGTCTATATTCATAAATAAATTATTACCTCCCTTACTCACATTAAATCAACAGTTAAACAGGTTTTTTAATATTTATTTAAAAATTCGTGTCAGCAACGTACTATACATAATAGCCATAATTTTATTTCTTACCCGAGAACGATTATAACCTGGCCGAATGTCTCACCCTATATATATAAGTCGTAAGTAAAAATCTACAAATTTTTAACAGCACAACACCGAATTTCGATGAACGTAATGCATACGCAGGAGTTCAGTAAGGCCGTGCATTGATTATGCAAGCGTGCAACAACGATAATTAGTTCGGCCTGTAATCTCATTATCTGTCTTGCATTGTAAGTCCAGCCTTGAATTGCTTACGTTGCTCCTTCCGTCTCTCAGCCAACCGCCTATGCAGTTCAGGGCAAAGGGTGTCTTAAGTAAATGACACCCAATGCATACGACAAAATATAATAATTTTATCGGATAATATTAAACAATGAGCCACAAAATTAAATCAACTGAAAGGATATGTTCAGATAATCTTCACGATGATGAAATTATTAGCTTTGGATATGATTAATTAAAACTAGGAAGGTTTTTACGCATACTGAGAGGATATGGATACTTTTAAATTTGTGGATGCTTCAGGAATAGTTACTCCTACAAAATTAATCAAGATTGATGAAAAATTAATTCCTTCAAGTAAATGAAAAAATTCTCACAATTTCAAAACTGAAATTATTTTGGTTCGGCCCAAACATCCGTAATTGGTGCGATGCCTGGAACGAAAATCGTCCAAAGTATTACATTAGCAGTGGCCGCGAACAATTCCAAAATTCATTGATCGATATTAATTTCTTCGATACATTAAAATGATTAAAGTAACGTTAAGAAATATATGAAATATAGCGCATTAACTACTGATTTAAGCTTGATTGTGTCAAATGCCAGGACCAGTTTATTAATCTCACAGCCACATCCTTGACAGCCAAAATATAGACCGTTTAGTGGTCGCTCATAGGCAGTTTTGACCGTACTCGCGTCAGAGCTGACATGTATCCACCAGACATCTGACGTACAATGAACTTGAAATAAACATTGTTTGGTTGAATAAACGTAGAAATAAACGTTGTTTCGTCAAATAAACATTGAAATAGACATTTTTCGTTAAATACAAGTTGAAATAAACGTCGTTTCGTGGAATAAACGTCAAAATAAACGTTTTTTCGTCGAATAAACGTTTTTGGTTGAATTAACGTTGTTTCAACATGAAGGTTAGCCAACGTAGCTGAGTAACTCACCTCTAGAGATGGAAACTACATAGAGAAGTAAGGTTACAGGCCGCATGTTGCCGAAGAGGTTGAACTGCTGCTGCGTCTGTGGTGCTGATTTAAAATACGCTACACGACAGCATCTCTGTCCGTTCGAAGCGAATTCAGAAACTATAAATCGGCGAAAAATTAACTTAGAATTTAAAAAAAGGAAAATATAGCGCAAGATAGCACCTCGCTAAATTAAAGAAAACTTAACTACGTGCATTTTTTCTCAGAAGCTTCAGAAAATTGTTTCGACTAAAGTACAAGAATTTATTGTTTATAGACTGTTGAGGGAAAATTAATTTCAGATTTACTATCAGTATTTCTATTACTATTTTACCAAATTATTGCATTCAAAGGGGATGCCACAAAAAAGCGCAACGATAGCATTTTTTTATATAATTTTTGACCGTTTAAACTGAAAGTTTTTATGAGGCATCAAGCCGAAATATTTATATTAATGTATCTGGCTTATGAATTATGCTTTTCATGAAATTTTATGAGAATATTTGTCAAAGTTTCTCTTCTCTGAACTAATTTTCACAAGGTTACATGCGCACGAATCCAGAAAATAAATTAATGGAACCGTTGAATTACAGTGCAGAACGTGAATAAGAACTGAAGACGTGTTTTCCAGACACTATTGTTCTTAATTAATGTTCTTGGCAAGTAAGCAATTAGAAGTTCACTCTCATGTTATAGTTTTGTCTCCAGTTACACTCCCACAAACAATATCCGTTTTATTTATATCACCATCGTACTGATTAATCACTCTCTCAATACTGACAATTTCAAAATAATAATAAATTTTATTCAAGCGATGGTGTGTTTTGGATGGAGTTTGTCTTGCGTCGCAGTCACTTGAGCCACGTGGCGCGGCGTCGAGCAAGCTGAGCGCGGGAGAAGAGTGGGGTGCGGAGCAGGGCGAGGCGTGACCACACCCTACCTCGTCTGCCAGGAGACTGGGGCTGTACACAAACCTACGTCTCTTGTAAGCAACCTTGCTTACAACAAGCCTGCCTGTAAAACAGGTTAGAAAATATTCTCCGAAAAGTACCTCCATTGTGATTAATAATAGAGTGATGCTAAAAAAAGCAGGGGACTTTAAATTCGGGCGGTTTGGCATTTGCGACGAGGATTGACCTGATCTCAGGTTGAGAAAAATGCAATTATGTCCGTGCTTTCTATTGGACATATATAAAGTTGGATACAAAAATGAAATAAGACCCAAAAATGATCTTGAATACAAAAAACAGTTTTGTTGGCGAGATCCACAACAGTTAGAAATTACTTGAAGGGGCACTTTTATAGAAATCACAATTCTCGACAGGAAAGAAGGTTTGCTCTCAAATTACGCGGTAGCATTAACTTAATTTTTTTATATCCAAACAGCACCATCAAGAACGAGGCCTCGAGGCCTACAGCCTCGGTGCCTACATTGACTCTGCCAACATTAATTAAAGGATAAACTTTCTTGATCATAGGGCACACATATTATCGGGATAACAATAACCATACAAATATAATAGAAATCAATTGCTATGAAATTTATCTTAGCATTATTAGAAAAAAACAAAGGCAATTTTCTACAATTTAAACGATGTTTATACTGTAAACGGGACTGACCTGACGCAATTAAAAAAAATAATTTCTGTGCTGCAGTATGCTTAGACTCATTTAAATATAAATGCAAGCAGCCTCAGTAAAAAAGATTCCAAATAGAGAGGCCCAAAATTATCTCTGCCATTTTACAGTGAATCAAATTTTTACAACACAACTAAAGATATTCAGTAATTTTACTTAATTCAAACATGTACTAAATAATACGAGAAGAATTAGAATCTACTTTAAAATTTTCAGTGTTGAAACTTTTCGCAAGACTTCGCAACCGTAACTTAAAGTTTAGAGTTTATTTGAACTTAAAGTATATTTTCTCATGATGATTTTTCATGTTTATTTAAATTCAATCGTAACTGGACGCTGCAGCGAGATTGCTGGAGCGCGTCGAACAGAAACCAGTGAATGCTATACATTTATAATATATATTTAGACTTAAATTCATGTCAATTTGTTAAATAAATATTAATTATACATAACATATTGTAATTAATCTAATATTTATTTGAGCTGAATTAAAAAAGGCAGAGCAAATTTTGCCTCTTGTATCATTTTATTTGCCGTTTTGTACAATCAATGAATGTCAGCATGGTTTTCACAAAAATTTTCTTGCCAGGTTATGATGAGTTCAGATGGGATTTTCTTTGTTTTGTGTGACGCAATGAATTGAAAGGAAAATTCAATTCGTAAATTTCGAGGATGTAGGCAAAATTCGAGAGTATGCCATATCGTCACTGCTATGAATACGGAATCAATATTCGTCATAGTTTATGGAAAAGTATGATAGAGGTGCGCAACTGGCGTAGAAATATGGAATAAATAATCGATTTTCCTAGTAAACTCATAATTTCTCGTTAATATTTTTTAAGCCGTTATTGTGAAACAAAAACTGACACGAAATAATTAGTTGTTTTGTTTTGAATTAATCCAGCTTTGTCAATTCAGGCATAACTTGATGCAAAAGGCCATTATATTTAGTATTAATACAGTGTATATATCGATTTAACATATCTATTGAATATATACTGTACAAATCATTTTTTATATCCTGGATTTTCATAGATCATGACAACGACGTAATTGGTCTTGCATCTAATTAAGTTTTATCAGATTGCTTATTGTTAAACTGATTTTATTTTTCGTAATACCAATCGTTTATTTAAAGCTGAAAGTTTTCCAAATACTGTCGAGCATTTATCCGAATCAATGAAAGTTAAAATGCCAACGATCACGGAAATTACATAAGATTTGTCATGTTTTCTTATAAACGAAACAAAAGGTACTCAATATACACTGTTCAATTTTTTCAAAGTTAAACGTAGTTCCCCTTAATTCACTGTTTAATAGTAAATGGTCATTACTGCTCGCTGCAAAACAACATCGCCTCTGAATATTTCCGAGTAATTACCATTAATTAAACCAGTCGGCACGAGTTGACCAAGCGATGTTCACGGAGGTCGAGCAGAAGTGACATTTCCAAATTCAGATCCAATTTTTGGGAATCGCGGCCAAAATCGTTCAATCTTTCATCGACCCGGAACTCTAAATGAACCAAAAAAATTTTCCTTTAAAATTTAAATTCCCTTCATTGTTCATTTTACCTATGATTTCATAACCAGATTCCAATAATTTCTTAATTTATTTCTAGGTTTATAATATCTGTTGAAACAAATTAGTTAACATACCTCATGTTAAATAATATACCAAGATATAAAATGAGTCAAAAACCAAATTAATTCGCTATCAAATGCATCATATTACACGACCAACAAAAAAATAACAGTGACACGGTGATTTGAAAGCCGCATAAGGTCTGAATATCAGCGCCCGTATTATTGAAGCCTGCGCTCTTAGAATTGCGGTTCGCTGAACCCGATGAGATTTTTGGGGCGTCATCTTGGCGGCTGCAATGCCTGGCAACGTCACTGCAATGAGATCACTGCAGTTGCACGGTGATCTTGCAGTGAAAGATCACTGCAGTTGTACGGTGATCTTGCAGTGAAAGATCACTGCAGTTGTACGGTGATCTTGCGCTGAAAGATCACTGCATTTGTGCGGGGATCTTGCACTGAAAGACCACTGCAGTTGGACGGTGATCTTGCACTGAAAGATCACTGCAGTTGTATGGTGATCTTGCACTGAAAAATCACTGCAGTTGTACGGTGATCTTGCACTGAAAGATCACTGCAGTTGTACGGTGATCCTGCACTGAAAGATCACTGCAGTTGCACGGTGATCTTGCACTGAAAGATCACTGCAGTTGTACGGTGATCTTGCACTGAAAGATCACTGCAGTTGGACGGTGATCTTGCACTGAAGATCACTGCAGTTGTACGGCGATCTTGCATTGAAAGATCACTGCAGTTGGACGGTGATCTTGCACTGAAGATCACTGCAGTTGTATGGTGTCTTGCACTGAAGATCACTGCAGTTGTATGGTGTCTTGCACTGATATTTCACTGATGATTTCATTGATTGTTGAGCTCTTTTCATTCCAGTACGTATAATTTTTATATGCATTTTTGTTACCGGATTTTATGCCGCGTGAAAAGCGCGTGCTTCTTTATACTCTTGTGCTTCTTTATACTCTATATAAATGTAACATGAAAATAGTATAAATATTTTGCTCTATGATGTCAATTTATATTAATTGTGGATAAATTGCAATTTTCTTGTATATCGTAATGTCATCATTCATATTTACCGATTTCCTAATAGACAAATTTAAGGTTAAAGCAAATTCCTCTAGCTGAAAGGTCGAATATGATGACACTTTATGCCCGAGTTTAAGCTGGTGGCGATTAAACTGGTATTGTACCGATCAAGAAAGAAGCTATGTGTGTGTGCTTCCAAGAAATAACGATCAAAATTACAACTGGTGAGCACCGCGATCAGATAACGACACGGAAGGGAGATACCAATTAAGTATTTATTTGTTCAATAATTAGATTTACTATAATTAGCAAAATTCATAACAGGCGACATGCAATTTAGTTATTATTCACAATTAACATGACATCCTTCGAGTACAACATCAGATCTAGAAATTGTTCTAAAATTGACACTATTTATCCTAAATGACGACATTCGATACGTAGCTACACATACCACAATCAACACGAAATTTTCCGAAAGCAGCATTAGACCATTCCAAAATCAAAATGACATATCCTGAAAAGCGACATTCGACCTCATAATCATTCCACAATCAACATGACATATCCTGAAGAACAACATTCGACCTCATAATCATTCCACAATCAACACGACATCCACGAATGACAACATTCGATCTCGTAATCACTCCACAATCAACACGACATCCCACGAATGACAACATTCGATCCCATAATCACTCCACAATCAACACGACATCCCACGAATGACAACATTCGATCTCATAATCATTCCACAATCAACATGACATCCCACGAATGACAACATTCGACCTCATAATCATTCCACAATCAACGCGACATCCCACGAATGACAACATTCGATCTCATAATCATTCCACAATCAACATGACATCCCACGAATGACAACATTCGATCTCATAATCATTCCGCAATCAACGCGACATCCCACGAATGACAACATTCGACCTCATAATCATTCCACAATCAACACGACATCCCACGAATGACA